AGACCCCTTTGCTTCTCAGACATAGGGGGTGCCCAGAAACGACCCTTCAGGATATGGACTGGCCAGAAAGTCTTGGGCTCTGGGACCCCCAGAGGGGTGGAGGTCACCTAGATGTCACCTGGGCAGGTAACCGTTGGACTTCTGGAGGAAGGATTAATGCACAGGGAGAACAATGGTGTTTCCCCTTTCTCCAAGAGCCAGTCCTCAGGGCTTCTGGCCTCTGGAGGAAGCTGCAACTCAAAAAACAGGCTCTGCATGCACACGGGCATGCGCGCGCGCGCGTGTGTGTGTGTGTGCGTGCGTGCGCGCGCACGCACGCACGCACGCACACACACACACACACACACACACACAGAGGTTGCTGCAGCAACAACTGCAGACTTCAGAAAGAAACCAGGCTCCCTCTGGAGTCCATGCGGCACCAGTACTGGAGGGGGAAAAGGAGCAGGAGGGCAGGAGGAGGCACCCACTCCTCCTCTCTCACCCGTCAGAAGATGGAGGCTTTGTTGGGCAAAAGGTGGTCAAGGTAGCAGCAGGGCAGGCAGAGGACCCATCGCCCCCCCGCCCCACCCCGTCGCCTTCATGCAGGGCGGCCAACGAGTGGATGCAAAGGAAGGTCCCTGGACAAGAAAGACAGCGGCCAGGCTTCCAGGCCTTCTCAGACGTGCAAAAGGGCGTCATGAAAACCCCCCACAACCAAACGGGGGTCCTCCCGGCTCGTTAGCCGTAGGTGCGTTCAGGGCAAGACATTTTATCAGAAGACGGGAGTGACTGGGCAGAGACAGTTAAGAACGACGACGACGGGGCTCCTTCCGGCTGGAGAGGCCACCCAAAGGGGACTCCCCGGCCCTGCGTGGCTTGTTTGAAACCCATCACGACCAGGAAGCCCATCAGAGGGGATTTCCAGGCAGAATAGGGGTTTGTTTGTTTGTTTTTTTAAAAAAGAAAAATGAGTCGGGGACATCAACTTACTGCCTGCTTTTGCTCCTCTTCCTAATTTTTAAAAAAACAAGAAAACGTGAGAGATAGAGAAAGAAAGAAAGAAAGAGAGAGAGAGAGAGAGAGAGAAAGTGGACAGTTAATTATTTACCTGGAAAGGAAACAAGACACCCAGAACATCCCAGAGAAGCAGCCCTGCCTGCTACCATCCGAGGACACAAGAGGCCAGAGAGGAGAGAAGGGGAGAGGAGCCAGCCGAGCGGACGCTGAGCCTCAGAGGCCTCCCAGCCAGAGAGCTCCCAGCTAAAAAGCACCACCAGACCCCTGGTTCTGGGTCAGGCCCTCCAGCGACGTAGCTGCTTGTTCCTCGGGGGGGCAACTAGATGCCACCGGGAAGCCACCCCCCCCGAGCAGGACAGGGACCCAGCTTGTCCCCTCCGGCTGTTGCTTTGCAGAGTGGGAACCTTTGCCGACTACTCACCCTGGGAGGATAGAGGGAAGCTGCCCATCCCCCCCCCAGAGACAGGCTGCCAGCCCCTCTAGCCCAGGACGGCCCAAGTGGCTCGGGATGGGCTTCAGGCAGGGGTCTTCCCCATCTCCCCCTAGAGGTGGGTCCAGGGTCAAGACCGGGAACTTTCTGCACACAGAGCAGCTGGGCTGCCACTGAATCCTGAGCCCCCCCTCCCCCAACCTCGATAGCTTTAGCCTCTATTTTTGTGTCCCATTGCTCCTTCTGAAGCTGTCCTAAGTAACGGCAACCTCCCTAGTGCCCGAGGAAGCGGACTCCTCCAGGTCCTACTCCTACCAGGGGAGGCTCTCAGCACACACACCCCCCCCTGTGAATGCAGGGGCGAACTGCCAGCCGAGCAGGCACTGGCAGGAGGGAGCGAAGCGTCCTCCTTGGATCTGGGCTGCTCCAGCGTAGCCTTTGCCACCAGGTGGAGGGATCCATCCCAGGGAACCCCTGGCCAGAGCCAACACTTGGCGGGAGAAGGCCTTACTCGCGTGCAAGAAACATGAAGTCTCTTCCCTAGCAAGACCCTCGAGACCAGAACTTGGAAAAATTACTTCGACGGGACGACATCGGTCAGAATCCCCCAGGAGAGCTCTTGTCCAAAAATGCAACCTTCCCAAGCTCTTTCCAAGATGGGCCGGAGGGTAGCTTTCTGTGTGCCAAAGGGGCCCTTTCACAGCCCAACCACACAGGCGAGGGTGCCGTTCCCGCCGGGGGGGGGCAGGATGACACCGCAGAGAAGCCTCACCTTGAGCAGCTTCATCAGCCCTTCCAGTTGGACCATCAGCTCCCGTCGGCTTTCCTGGAGGGCAGACATTCGCTGTTCCAGCTCATCCTTTCTTTGCCTGTTCAGACCAGAAAGCAGGAAGGGTCAGGGCGGAGTGGAGAAGAGCCCGCTTGGGACTCAGAACAGGCCAGCCGCCCCCCCGAACAGTTGCTGGAACTCACCACCACCCCCAACAGTCTCTGTACCCAGATTGAGCAAAGGGTGGGTCAGGGAGGATCTCCCCAGCTCTGTGCCCAAGGGAAGCTCTTCCAAGGCATCCCCCACCCACCCAGCCACCTACCCCACTGCCTGCCAAGGCCCGCTTACCGCAACAACCGCAGTTCTGCCAGCAGAGTCGGGTTCTGCTGGGCTTTCTCCGGCGTGGGCTGGGAGGCCTGCTCGTGCTCCAGCCGGAGGCGCTGGATTTCCTGCAGGATCTCTCTGGCCAGAAGAAGAAAACAGCCTGGCGTGAGCCCCCAAACACCCTCCCCCAACGCCCCAGGCTACTCAAAACGAGGCCCGTTTTGGGGCGGGCAGGGTGTGGGAGTGGGCACAGCCCTCTGAGGTCAAGGAGACGGGCACCTGCCGCCCTCCGACCCTAGGGGTTTTGCTGCCACCCCTGCTCCCAAAGGCTTTTAGGAGGCCAAGGCTTTACCCCCTTGTCCCATGAGACACATGCTTTCAATGGTTCCCCTTTTCTCATCAACTTCCTTGGTCTTTTGCTTGACACGCGCTTCCCCCCAAAAAAGGTTAAAGAGGGAAAGCACACTCTGGAAGGGTGGTGGTGTGCAGGACTATAACACACAACGAGGAAACTGGGAGATGCAGAACTGGCTTGGCTGCAGCCAGGGTCCCTTCCAGCCTGCCCAAACACTCATGACCGGGGTGGGGTGGGGGTGGGAGGCCCTAGGTAAGGCAGCAGGCCTTGGGTGTGTGGGTCTGCTGGTGGGACGGCGCTGCTCTCTCCTCCTCCAAGGGCAATGAGAACATGGCCCCCCTAACCCATTGGGAGGAGTCACGTGATCTCAAGGGTAAGGAGTGATGGCCAAGGGAAGCCCTCCCGCATCCAGGGTAGAGCAAGGACCACTTCCCAAGAGGACAGAGGGACGCTTCTCTGCTGGGAATCTGATTCTGCTTCCCTAGGTTGCTGGCCAAGCATTCCAGGGGAACAGTGGTGCACAAGAGGGCTCTGGTCCAAGCAAGCGGGGGGGGGGGCACACACCCTGCTGGACAGTCAGACCTGAGGAGGCCAACAAGGCACTTGCTTGATGCAAAGCCACTGCTCCTCTACCAGATCCATTCCCCGTTTGGGCCAAGAGAATCTCCCAAGAATACAATGATAAAGGGGGCATCTGCTTTTAGGTTTTCTAAACTTACTGTTTTTAGCTTCAAACACTGTCTTTTAATGATGTAAACCGCCTCGGGTCTTTTTTAAGGAGAAAGGTGGGGTAAAAATATTTTTAATAAATAAATTACTAACGCATCCCTTCTGGAAGGCTAAATGCCACTCAGCTCAAGAGGCTGGTGCTAACCTATAAAGCCCTTGATATTCGTCAGAACGTCTGCCCCAGAAACCAGCTGCCTGTTTTACCTGCTCCTCCTAAACCACAGTGGTTAAGGGTGGCCAAAAAGAGGACAATGAGGAATCAGGCCTTCTCGGGGGGGTGGTGGTGGTCCCTACTCTGTGGAATAAACTTCCATCTAAGATGTGCCACACTTCTTCCCTCCTGACTTTTAGGGAATTATTAAAGGCAGAACTTCCAGAATGTATCCCTGGCTGTTGGGAACTTTTAATTTTTCAATGTAGGCTTTTTAAAAATGAGTCAGTCATTGCCATTGTTTGGGTTTGTGTGGGGGTGGTGTTTTGTGGGGGGGGCAGGGTTCCCTGGTCTATTTTTTTAATTGCGTTCACTAAGTGGGGTGGTATAAAAGTTCATCAATCCATCAAACGGGTGACACCCTGCAAGGACCCGCAGTGGAATGCAGGGGGCCTCCCTCTCCCCATGTGGCCAGGCTGCTCCCTGCAGATCTGAGCAGTTCCCACAAAGTCTTGCCGAGCCCCACTAGGAAGCTGCTGCAGTTCCCAGTCCCCCCCCCCCAACTGGAGAAAGGGGAAGAGCGGTTGCAGGACACAAGGGGAGGCTGCTGCGAGGGTGGCCGGGTGAGCCCCGTGGGCTGCAGAGCCCCTTCCCAGCCCTCTCTCACCTGTTCTTGTTTTCCAGCTCTGCAATCAGCTGCCTTTGGTGCTTGTTGGCATCGAAGTTGAACCCCAGGTCCGTCGGTGGGCGCGGCTGCCAAGAGACCAACCATCGCCATTTGAATCCTGAGGCATGGCCAGAGTGTCTCGTTCCAGCAGCCCGGGAGTGTCCCCATAGACCCACCACCACGTCTAACGGCACTGGAGAGTTCAGGGAACGTGGTGGAAAAGGCCAAGCCATGTGGCTGCTCACCTTGTCCCCACCAGGTCCAGGAAGCCCCCCCTCCCCCCGGGTCATTGGCTCTTATTATCCCCCACTCAGAGGTAAGACTGTCAGGAGAGTCGTGATGCTGGATGAGATCCCCAGTGACCCCCACAGTCCCACATTCTGACCGCAACCTCGGCCCCATGTTCCCCACAGAGTGTACTGAGAGACAGGCTCTTTCTGATACGAGAGGGGTCACGTGACCCTTCTGACCAGGAGTCCCCCGTCCATGGAAGTCTCCCATTCCTTTGCAAAGCTGTCCAAATAGCAGCTGTCACTGCCTCTTTGGGTAGCAGACACAACCCTAATTCTCCTGATACAGAGGTCTCCTTTCCTTGCTATTCTTCCACCAGGCCCTCCTGTCTTCCATTGCCTCCCAGAGTTGGGTCAAATTCATGTTGGGCACTTTGATGACCCTGTCCAACCATCTTGTCCTCTGTCTTTCCCTACTCCTCTTACCTTCATGCTTTCCCAAGAGAAGAGAGTCTTCTCTTCTAATGAGATGGCCAAAGTCTTGGAGCCTCCGCGTCAGGATCTGTCCTTCCAGTGAGCACTAAGGGTTGAATTCCTTCAGAATGGATAGGTTTGTTCTCTTTGCAGTCCAGGGGACTCTCAAGAGCCTCCTCCAGCACCACAATTCAAAATCATCCATTCTTTGGCGGTCAGCTTTCTTTATGGTCCAGCTCTCACTTCCGTACATCACAACTATGCGGACTTTTGTCGGCAAGGTGATGTCTCTGCTTTCTAAGATGCTGTTAAGGTTTGTCATCACTTTGCTCCCAAGAAGCAGGCGTCTTTTAATTTCGTGGCTGCTGTCCCCATCTGGAGTGATATTTCTTCTGGCAATCTTAATTCCGTTTTGGGATTCCTCCAGTCCATCCTTTCACATGATGTATTCTGCATATATGTTAAATAAGCAGGGGGACAATATACAGCCTTGTCGCACTCCTTTCCCAATTTTGAACCAATCAGTTGTTCCACATCCTGTTCTAACTGTTGCTTCCTCTCCCACATATAGATTTCTCAGGAGATAGATAAGGTGGTCAGGCACTCCCATTTCTTTAAGAACTTGCCATAGTTTGCTGTGGTCCACACAGTCAAAGGCTTTTGCGTAGTGAATAAAGCAGATGTTTTTCTGGAACTCTCTGGCTTTCTCCATAATCCAGGGCATGTTAGCAATTTGGTCTCTATTGCTATTCTTAACTAACCACAATGGATCAATCTCTCCCCCCCCACCCCCGGACGTCTCTAGGGCTTTTTAAAAGTACACTTGAACTAGAGGACAGCAGAGCAGCTGCTTGAGTGGTCAGCCCTACAAGGGGATTTGGAGAGCACAGGGGAAAGGAGGACCCCTCTCCAGAAACTGCTGCATGTCAAAACATGGGGACTCCCAAGAGTTGAACATCTCCAGGGACTTCCTGCTCCCAAGGAGGGTTAAAATGGTGTGAGCAACTCCCTCCCTGCTCAAATCACAGCGCAGGTGGTGGGGCTCCTGGAAATGACTTCCTTCTTGTCTTGTGGACCACTTGATGCCTTCACAGAAACAAAAAGCTGACCACGCTGGGATGCTGGGAGCAGGGGGTGGGGGTGGCGAGGGTGAGTCCCTTTCCACCGGCTCCTCTGCCTGGGCCTCCAGCACCCGTTCTTCTTACCGCAGCACCCATGAAAATGTGCAGTGCATGGTGGGGGGGGGCTGCTGAACCCTCCCCACCCGCAGGAGGATGTTGCAGGAGGAAGCTGGGTGCTGCTGTTTGAAACCTTGCAGTTTGCAGATGAAGCAAATTCCTGCACAAATGACTCATCCAGGGTTCTCGATTAAAGGATCCTTCCCTTTTTTGCTTTGGAAGTCACCTCTGGCAGACACAGGCTTCTGTAATCACGCAAGAGGTCTGTGTGGGGTTAGGGGCGGCTGTAGACAAGAGGGGGCTGCTGCACTCACATCCTTCGGGGGGGGACCTCTCACGGGACCACCTGGTCAGCCACTGGGGATCAGGATGCGGGACGAATTGGGGGCCACTTCTCGTCTCATCCAGAAGGGCTTTTCTGGTGCTCAGAGTCCAGAGGCACCTTTGCCCAGGGGAGGGGAGTGCCTGGAATATGAGCCATATTTCCTTGGCAGAGAGGCAGGGACCGAGCAAAAGAACAGTGGGAGCATGGCTTTTCGGGGAGGTTTTCTACTCCGACCTCAGCGGGTTGAGTTGATTGTACGTCTCCATCTGGTTATTTTTATTTCCCCTTTTGCTTTTTCATTTACCTCATTGCTCTGGCACCCTCTGTTCCATTGCTTCTCTAGTCAGATATCAGACTGTTTTAAGTCTATTATTTTGTTTTGATTGTGTCTGGGTATTCATTGTAAACCACCCAGAGTAGTGTTTCGGCACTAATGGGAGCAATATACAAGATGAATGAATGAATGAATGAATGAATGAATGAATGAATGAATGAATGAATGAATGAATGAATGAATGAATGGAGAGACGTGGCTTAGAGCCACCTTAGTCATGGACAGACAAGCCAGATGATGAGCAACAGCAGAGCTAGCAGGAAGTGGAGGCCTCCCTTGATTCTTGGCTGGTTCAAGGTGTACTTTTGGTATCAGACAGGAGAATCCAACAGGAAGCCAGGAGCGAACACACGGCTGCCCTCCTGCTGGAGCCAGGAAGTCAGAGTCCTGGACGGGTGTCCACAACCAGCCAGGAGCCCTGTTTTATCCGAGCTTAGTGCTTTCTGGAAAGAGCTGAAGGCAGGGAATGAGTGGCGAAATTGCGACCAGGGCCTTTCTATCACACATTGTTGGAAAACCACTTGGATGTCTTCTGACCAGGTGTCATAGTCCAGACCTGGAGCTCGGAGCCACAGAAAAAGGGTCACGCAGAGACTGCTGGAGGTGACGGTGTAAATGGAGGCCACTTTACTGACAGGTTTGGATGAGTTCAAGCCATGTGACACGGATACTCTTAGCTGGAGCCACTGTTCTGTCGGGGATGGGGGTGGAGGAGGGGGTCTCCTACTAAAGGAGAGAGGGACCAAGGCCCCCAGGTTCAGTGGCCTCCCCTTTAAGGACCAAGAGGCATCTGTGGTTCCTCTGACCCGACCTGGATGCTGACACTCCCGACTTTGATGTTCTCTCCGAGCTGCAGGAAGATCGCTGGGCCCGGCG